CACCCCTATGCCCACCATCTAGATTCTACCACTGACGTTTTGGCAGAGCAGAGTGGAAGGGAAGGGGAAAGAGGGTGAGGGCAGGTATTTAGCCATCCATCTACCCATTCATGAATCCATTTGATTTTTAAAGTATTTCAAAGTAATTTGCCAACATCAGGACAATTGCTGGGGGTCGGGTATAAATTGGTCATGAGAAAGGAAGGCCTCTCTAAAGAGATTACATTCAAGACTAGAATGAAAAGAAGGAACCAGCCAAGGAAGGGGGATAGTGTGCAAAGGCCCAGGGGCTGGAACATTGGAGGAATAGAAAAGTCATTATTTATTGGGGGGAGGGTATATCTCAAATGGTATAGTGCATGCTTAGCAGGCACAAGGTCATGGGTTCAATCCCCAGTACCTCCTCTAAAAATAAATAAATAAACCTAACTACCCCCCGAAAAAAAGGTTAAAAAAGTCATTATTGAGGCTGGAAGACCAGCACAGTTGGGGATGAGGTCAAGAGGTGGGCAGGGGCCAGAGCTCACAGGGCTGGATGCACTCTGGGAGCGAGGCTGACTCTGCCTGGGCTCGGGCTTTTTGTTTTTCTGCCTCTGTGTACCTCTGTCTCTCTTATTATTATCTCTTCACCCTGCTCTTTTCCACTCCAATCCATCCCAGACCTGCTCTCACCCTCTGTCCCCTTCACCTCCACCCTGTTCTGCTATTTACTATCTGAGTGACCTTAGGCAGGTGACTAAACCTTTCTGTGGCTCAAGTGTCTTCATCTGTAAAATGGGGATAGTAAAGAGACCTCCCTATCTGGTAGCTGTGAAGAGTGAATGAAGTCCTATCTGTGAAGCCCTTAGATCCATTCCTAGTACCTAGTAGTGCTGGCACTGACCCACTTCTGCTGCTATTGTTATTATTCTCCCACATTGGTCCTCCCAGTCCTGGACCTCCGCCTCCCAGCAGGGAGCACCAGGATCCAGGGTGAGAGGTGAGGATGGTGCCTGGATGGTGGTGGTGATGGCGAAATATGGAGACTGTGGGGGTGGGACTGTGAGTGTCCCAGGGGGTATCTAATGGTTGTGAGTGGTTCACCAGAGGGAAGTTCTGCAGAGGTGCCCTTGAGTCGGGGGGGGGGCAGGCTTCGTGTGATGACATGGCTAGGAAGAATTTAGGGAAGGGGTATGGGAGAAGACCTCAACACAGTGGGATCCAAAATGGGAGGGGTTTGGGCTGCCAGGGACCTGTGGGATTGCAAAAAGACAAATTCTGAGGGGAGGACTTGCTGGGTTTAGGGGACAGTGGATATTTCAAAAAGAGGTGGAGGGAGGCCTGAGATACTCAGTCAGATTGGGGAGGAGTTGGGGGACCGATATTCAGTAGGAGTTGGGCAAAGGGGTCTGAATAAGGAAGGAACAAGAAATCCTGGCCTCCACAGAAGTAACAAGGAGGGATAAGATCCTGCAGGGTCCAAGAGAGAGAACAGGAACAGGGAGAAGACAGGGTCCTCATGGGGCAACACTGGTGGGGAGGATGATTAAGAACCTAAGGCAAAGTGGGTGTTCAGGAAACCAAGGGGTGCCTTGGAGGGGAGGATGGTCTGGGTTCTAATGGGGGTAATCAGGAAAGTTTAGGGTCTTCCATGATGATAAGGGACATATTTGGGCCTCAGAGAAGTTGGACATGATTTGGAGTCCCTATTGGGACTCAGGGAATGGTTTGTGGTCCTAGAGGGTAGAAGGACATAGAGGGTCCCCAGGAAGGAGTGGGATATGGTTTGTGGTCCTGAGTGGCTGTAGAACATTATCTATTTGGGTCCCCAAAGGGAGTAAGGCATGATCTGGGATCTCCTTGGATGTTGACATATGGTCCAGGTCTTCTCTGGATGTTGGGGTATGATCTGAGGTCCGTGCAGGATGGTGTGTGGTCTGGGTCCACCTGAATGTTGGGTATGATTTAGGGTCTCTGATGGGAATGCTCTGCGTCCCCTTGGATGCTGGGTTATGATCTGGGGTCCCCCTAGATTTGGGGGTACTGTCTAGGATCCCTGATGGGTGTGGGGCAGAGTCTGAGGTCACCAAGGAGAGCAGGACATGGTTTGTGGTCCTGGGTGGCTGTGAAACATGGTCTGGGTCCTCCGAGGAGGTAAGGCATGGTCTGGAGTCCCCCTGGGGGTCGGGACATGATCCACTGGGGGTTCGAGGGTCCCCATGCCAGTCGGGGCGTGGTCTGGCGGTCTCCGGGGAAGCCGGCTGGGCTGGAGGTGGGACTGGGGAGGGGTTGGGGGCGGGCCTGCGGCTCCGCAGTGGAGAGGGGTCTGCGGTTGGCCCCAGGGCAGGGGTCGGGGGCGCGTGGCCGTCCCGCCCGGCCACTCCGGTGGGCGCCCCCTCCCCCCTTGCGGCGGTGGCGGCGGCGGGGCTCGGGCGGCAGGCGGCGCGGAGGGCGGAGCTCGGCGGCGAC